ATGGTTCTGCCTTTGCTTGGCTGTAGGTTTTTTTTAATGCTCCATTTTTAGGTCTTAAATATTTTACATAACATTAGAAAAGTAAAATGAAACACATGAAAATTCTCACCTTCCTTAGGTATTTTAGAAACCCCAGGAAGACTTGTCACATGCAGGAGTGCGAGAAATAATTGTTTTAATGGAAGTGTTGGAGATAAAATGTTAAGAATTGGAGTTTGAGCAACAGAGACCTAACTTAAAAGTTATAAGATAATGTGTCAACTGATGGAGTTTAAATATTACTTATATTATTTAAAGTCTACTTCTAACTATTATGATGTTAAAAAAAATTACAATGTCTCAAACATTGTAATAGAGTAAAATGCTTTGAAAAAAATGCACCTTTCTCGAACACTGGGCTTGTTTTGAACCCATGAAACTTTATAAAAGAGTTAAAAATGTATTGTTGACCCTTCACTTTAGTATATTGGAGAGTAATATAATTGACAGTCCTGATAATGGTGGCAGAACTGCTTGCTTTTCAAGATTTTTTAATACAGCATTTTGAGCAAATATTTCAATTGGTGGAGTTTTCTGATGGCATGACAAGTATTCATTGCTGTCACTGCACCTGACAGCTTTAGAATGCCTGACAACTTTATTTTCCATATATGTCATTAGATGCATATTAAGCAGCCACTCCTACTTTTGCCTTCGTATTTTCTGTGTGAAAGGGAAAGGAAAGGCAGGCCTGATGTGAACTGCTCCTGTGAGGTGATAAATGCCAGTTCTTCCTTTTAGCACTGATGGGAGTTCAGGGACATGAGCAGCTCGCCAGATTAAAACAGGCTTTGGAACTAACTTTATTTAAAACTACATATGTGTAATTTTTACAACAAGCTACAAGAGGGGATAAATTAATGTCTGTTAACTAGTAAAAAGAAATGTAGTGTGCAGACTGTAGTAAAACTTAAATTTACATAAGAAATCCAGATTCAGGACAGTGTAAGCAGCCTAAATGAAAATGTTGCTTTTGAAGTTGGCATATACGCTTTGTTTTTCAAGCTTGTAAGGAATAGTAGAGTAGCAGGAAGAAATGGGTTATTTTCTGTTTTGGTTTAAAAGGAGGTGGGGAGAAGTTACCTGGTCAGCCTGCTAAGTAGGCAAAGAGTACTTTGTCCTTTTAGTAGAAACAATGCTGGTATTGTTCTAACACCATATAAAGAGCTTTGTATTTATCTTTTTTTCTTTTACTTTATTAAAAGAAGGCATGCCAGGCTGTCCACTTAGGTTAATGAAGAAAGGAAGGTTACTCTACAACAGATTTGGGTTCTCTGTATCTAGTTTGTATCAGCTTGCTGCCCTTTTTTTTTTTCTTTTACATCAGCACTGATAATAAACATGAAGAAAAGAGTATTCTCTGCTGTGAGACTGTACTCTGCTGCTATGAAAGCAGTAGAAAACCTTGGTAAAACAGAAGAAAGTGTTAGAAATATTTCTGACTCTTAGTCACTGCTTCTAACAGAGCTATGCTCCTGGTCTTCCTGTATATGGAGATGTTGTGTTTTAAGTGAGAGTATTTAAAAGATGTTATCAAAATAAAGAAATCATTGTTTGCTAGGACATGTTTTTGTGGAACAGATTTTTTTTCTGTCAATCTCCTTCCTCTTGTGGTGCCTCCAAGTGCAGTCCTGGCAGAGAAAATACAAACATTGTGTTCTGCATCACCTTTTTTTTTTTCTTCCCTATTTTGCTTCTTTTGGTTTATTTGTGGGGAGTTGTATAGTACTAAATTGTTTTAGGCAGTTTGGAATCAGACTGATAACTTCTGAACTTAATTGTCACCATATATTCTTTGGGGAGGTTAACTCTAAAGAAGAGGTTTCCTTAGAGCCTTTGGTACTTTTACAAATGTTTGAGCTCTTGGCTCAATGTTAATATTGGCAAGTAGTTGTGCAAAGCTATTAAGTATTTGGCTGATACCCAAACTTCCTGCTGACTAGGTGATTCAGGCCACAGGAGGGGACACTAAAAGCCTAAATCATCCCTCAGCATGTAAGAGTGTGTAACCAGTGAAAATCAGAGCTTACGGGGTACTGTGTATGCAGCGTTTCAAGCAAACTCTGTAATTATGTTAAATGTAGAAGTAAGGATTTGGAAACTAAATTGGGTGAGATCTTCTAGTTGCATCCATGTTAGAATCTTATGCTCCAGGTTTCTCAAAAATAGCTAAAAACTCACAAATAAAGTGAGTTGTCAGACTTCAGCTATGTGGGTAATGTGAGCCCATGATGTTGCTGTGTGCAGAATGCAGGTTGTCAGGTGGGGCAGGAGTGTGGAGAACGAGGCAAGGTGAAGTTTAACAGGTTGGGGGCATGGATGGTGTCAGGTCTGCTGGGGCTTTCAAGGCTGCTGAGAGCATGGGGCAAAGTGTCTAGTGCCTGCCTTCCTGGCCCCAGCTGAGAATGCGTATGCATAATTTTCTGGATTCTAAAAGGATCCACATAAAATATAGTTTTGATTGCAATGCAGAATAATAAATTAATTATTATAATCGTTAATTTTACATCATGTACATTAAAGGCTTTTCTTTAAAATAAAAAAAAAAAATTGAGTCAAGCAGATGAGTATCTGTTTGTTTTTTTTTTTCCTCGTACTAAGCTGATTTGGAGTTTGAAACTCAACTCCTAGAGGAAGAGGTGTGTAGTGGGTCTGCAGTTTGTCCCTACCAGACTGAGTGAAGCAGGGTGACTTTTTTTCTCAGAGAAGGGTTTAGGGGGATATGACTTTTGTGACTCCTTTGTCCTGGGTACTGCAACACCTACAGCTTTGGTAAAGAATTATTACTTGAGAGTATTAGTATTCCTTCCTCCCTTTGCAATTAAAATAGCAATGTAAAATAAATTTACCTTTCAAAATAGAACTATTTATATCTCACCTGTCTACTTGAAGTTCAACTGGGATGGCTCTGTCAGCTGGTTCTGTGGGAAGATGGGATTTCTTCTCTTGTTCTCCAGGCAGTAGATGATGATCTGTGTGGCAGTTGTTGAGGTCCTCAGGGTGATATTGCTTTTTCATGTCTCCAATTCCTGATGTGTTGAGACACACAGTAAATCTTCCTGAAGCTAGGAAGGCTCCATGTAGAAGCAGTAAAGAAAGTGATGTAGGTGCTTTTTCTCCCCTCTTTCATAAAGCAATGGTGTATGGCCTCTATTGTGTCTGAGACTTCCCAGCCATAAAGGAAGGCTCCTTAACAAGTACACATGTTGAAAAAGCATGTTTTTTTGTGTTCTTGCCTTTTTCTGAGGTGTTTGCAGGAAAGCCAGTCTGTATAATTCAGGTTGTAGAAGGTAACAAACTAAAAAATTCTTAGCGTTTCTCCGTTTTCATTTGCAAAGTCAGAGTTTTCAGCTTTTGGTCTGTGAGCTGTCCTTAATAGCCTGCTAAAATAAGAAAATCAAGCATATCATCAGTGTGCTTGTGTTTACAACACAGAGGTCTCTGTTAGAATACTTCTAGGGGAAAAAAAGAAATTGAAAGTGCTGTGGAGGTAATAACACTAGTTGGTGGTGTTTTGCTTCTCTTTTCCTGCTGCTTTCAGAATTTTCCCAAGGTTATGGAAGTTACAATGTTCAATCAGCATTGGAACATTGTTTCAGAAGTTCAGTCAGAAGTTAGCCCTGCTTTTGGATAAGGAATGAGGGTCATTTTTTCAGTACGGCTCAGTGGTAAGCACTGCTGGAGTGCTATGCAAGATAAGTGTTCTCTGATATGAGATAAGAACTTCCAAAACTTCACACAAGTTGAGAAAAGAAAGACCACAACTAATAAGCTCTAAAAGGCAAAACAAGTGCCTAAAAATACATATCAGAGACATAAACAGAAGTAATTTATTAAGTAATTTATTAGGTAACTGTAAGCAAGAAATGTACTGATTTATCAGACTGAGAAGGAAAAACACCATGGACATAAGATAAAATATTCTGTACCTCTGCTTCTGAGGCTCAACAAATTTATACCCAACCTCACCACCTGGCCATGTATCATATCTTCTGTATTTAGAAATATTTTGTGTGCAGTGTAAATTGATACTGGCATTTCCTGCTAGCAGTAGTTTTTTCACCAGACCAGAGTGTAGTGTTTTTTTTTTTTTTAATGGGGCTGTTTATTTTGTTTTGTTTGCGCTTTTTTTTATTGAGGCAGCAAGAGGGTGGGGTGAATTCTGTCAATTCCGAAGATTTGTTGTTGCTTTTGCTCAGGATCTGCCAGGAGCCAGTGATCTTCAGCTCTGGTCTCATGGGAGGTTTGTCTATGAAGGTGCTACAGAACTATTTCAGGCAACTACAAAGATACGAGGATGGATTTCTCGGAGGGCTTGCTGAGTTACTTGGCCAGAGGATGGCTGGCACTTGAGAATGAGGATAAGCAGTTTCATTGTCCTGGTCACCATGATGAGAATTTTCTTTTTTTATTGGTCAATATGTTGAAGTTGAGACAGCAGAAAAGCTGCACAAGTCCTTGTGGTGGAATAAGCTGTGGGTCATCCCTTGAATGCTGCATGACAGCTGAAAAGAGGGGCAGATTTGGACAGTGATGTTAAAATGCCAGAACTTGAAAAAGTAAAGCAACAAGATTCCTTTATATCTGTGTGCCTTGGGCCTGGAGGCTTTAAGAGAGTAGTTCTTTATGCCAATAAAAATATTTTTCTTTATATAAATTTCATATTGTCAGTCATTTAAGTGACAAGGTATGGTATGGTATTGTATTGGGCCCATGTTGTGCATTTCAACTTATTTTAACAAGCTTTAGCTTGAAGTTTTCTAGCAAGAAAGAAATGGGGAATTTTATTTTGATTGAATTTAGTTTAAAAATGCATTTTTAACTAATCATCCTAAAAATAAAATGTATAGCAGATTTTTTTGTAGTTGTTACTCTGGGAAGTTGGTTTTTCTGATGTATGGTGATTACTTGTAAGTTTATTTTCCAAAATGAAAACTTAATTTTATAATTTCTTTTTTCAGGTCTGTCTTGGGTGGTAAACCAGATTTTGCCTACTGGAAGAATGCAGTGAAACTGCCAGTATTTCTAGCCGGAATTATTAATTTAATATTCAACTTTAGTGTTACTAGTTTCTTACTAAATAGTACCTCAAAGTAGAAGAAAAATGTATGGAAGTGCAAGAACAATCAGCAACTTGGAAGGAAGTCCCTCCAGGTCCCCTCGCCTGCCACGGTCCCCTCGCCTGGGCCACAGGAGAACCAGCAGCGGGGGAGGAGGGGGCACAGGGAAGACGTTGTCCATGGAGAACATCCAGTCCCTTAACGCAGCCTATGCAACCTCTGGACCAATGTACCTGAGTGACCACGAGGGTGTAGCTTCTACTACTTTCCCAAAGGGCACAATGACTCTTGGAAGGGCTACAAATCGAGCTGTGTATGGTGGCCGAGTCACAGCCATGGGGAGCAGCCCCAACATCGCTTCTGCTGGACTGTCACACACAGATGTGCTCTCTTACACTGACCAGCACGGAGGGCTGACCACATCCTCACACCACCACCACCACCAGGTTCCTTCCATGCTGAGACAGGTTAGGGATAGCACCATGTTAGATCTGCAGGCTCAGCTTAAGGATCTACAGAGGGAGAATGACCTTCTCAGAAAAGAACTAGACATCAAGGACAGCAAGCTGGGGTCCTCTATGAACAGCATCAAAACTTTCTGGAGTCCTGAGCTAAAGAAAGAGAGAGTATTGAGGAAAGAGGAAGCAGCCAGAATGTCAGTTCTTAAAGAACAGATGAGAGTTTCCCATGAAGAAAATCAGGTAAGTAATTATGAGAGTTTTCTTGTGTTGATTTACAACCAAGTACTTGATGTTTTGCTTTTGGTACTGTATCCAATGCTGGCACAAGTTTGATATTTGCCACAAGAATTTTATATCTTGGTGTATCTACTTCTGACTACTAAACTGCAGGAAAGCACACTAATAGGAATCCAAATGCAGATTATAATTTCCTTCATGCAGCATCCTTTGCATTTTAGATGGATAAATAATTGTTACCCTTTCTCTTATGTTTGAAACTTTCTGGGTGGTTTTTTTTTTTTTTTTTGCAACTGTCTATATGCTGCTTTGGCAACATTTTCTGAAGAGATAAATGAACCATTTTTGAAAAAGTGTAAATAAATATCCAGAGGCATATTTTGTTTAAGCTGTGCAGGGAGTTAACAGTTTCAAAGTTAAAAGAAGATAAATCCTCATATTCAGCTTTCTGTCCTTCTGCATTACAAAATGAAGTTTTCAGTAACATTTCAGGGACCTGCATTGTAGTAAATGAGTATCTTGTAAATATGTGTTTCAAATACTACTATTCACATTGTAACATTATTTTCCTGAAGTTATAAAAAGAGTCAAATATTTTAGTCAGGGTGGATAAATCTTTGAAGTCAAACTTTGAGGCTTTGCTATATCAAATATACAGCTACATATACAAAGCTATACAAAACAGCAGCACAGAAGAGATAAAAAAATTATCCTTCCTCCTTCCTTTCTCCACACACTTTTTGGCTTCTGGTCTTATTTTAAAGTTGCTCCTTTTTAAACCATCTGTTAACTTTCCCCAGACAAAAACACAGTCCTGTGTTTCTCTCACTTCCAGATTCCAAATCTAAACTTCTTTGCTGGCAGGCAGCAACAACTGAGATTTTTAATTTACTTCCAAGTTTGTGATCAATTAGAGCTTCTCAGCAAACTTTCCACCTTTAGGCATGTCATGAACCTAAATATCTACAGAGCTGGCAAGTCTGTTACCAGTTACTTCAGTGGGAAACTGGCTGGGTTGTCATCAGGAATTCAGTGCAATGAATTAATTTATTACTTTCTTTTATAACTTTTGTATCCAGACTGACGGTAGTAGTTGCTGATTATTTATAGCAGATGCAGTAGGATGCTGCTAGAACCAATATTAACAAAAAGATGCATTGTGGAGGTTCTGTTTTTCAAAAACTTTGCTGGTTAGATACTTTAATGGTGGTAGTTGGTGTCATCTCAGGAGGAGAATTATTCTAATAGGCTGTCATGTATTTCTTATGCAAATGTCACATTAATATCTTATACTGACATTTGGAATTTGAATCTGGTATTTAGAGACTTTGTCACACACCAATGACTGTTCTGTTTTGTTTTTTTCCCCCCTAAAAGCTAGTTTGCTTATCTTGAAGGAAAGTAAACTAGTAACTCATTTATGACTTCATTCATGTTGTATCTTTTTGACAAATTCTTACTTTTTTGTAACAGCAAACCTGACAAAAGCAATGTATTTAGCTCTATGTGTATTTTTAACATGAATCCTTCCTCTGTAATACACAGAGATTGGGTAGCTCTATTCCATTGCTAAGTGTCCAAACATTCACAGAAGAGGCCAAGTACAGTGGCATCCCCAGAGAGTGCTCCTTGTGATCCAGCTGCTGGTTTTTTGTGCTTAATAACTTGGAAAACTTTAAATTCAGCCAGTTACTTTTGGACCTGTTTAAAATGCCAGTGCCACAGGCTCTTACAGCCTAACGTACCTGTGAGGAACCACTGTTTTAATTTGGTTTTGCACTAGACTTTGGCTGGTTTTGCTAGGATTTCTTGCTCCTTGTACTGAAAGAAGCAATAAATAATTAATGTCTGGTGCCAGCCTCAGTGCCACTTAGGGCTTTACAGTGCCATCATCACATGCCTCCCTCAGCTCTTTTCCAGACAGCAGCATCTTACCATGTGTGATAATTCCTTGTGAAACAGTAACATGATGTTTTTCAGACGTGTTAAATGTTTGGTTTTTTTTTTTTTTAGGCAAGGGGACCAAAACATCTTATGTTTTTGATAAGGTGTAAAATGAGTTGTGTTGATGTTGTAGTGTTTGCCCTTTTATTCTGTATGTATCTCACAGAAATTCCCAACAATTAGTTTGTTCTTTCCAGTTTTGGATGCCTTTATTTTTGTTGCTACTGAGTACTAAGCTAATATCATAATGGGAATATTTATCATAGCTGAAAAATCCCTCACCATTCATTCTAACAAGTTTAGGTCCCAGCTTGTTATGCTTGAAGGTAGGATTATTTTTACTTGTGTGCCAGTTTAATCTCCCTGAATTTCATCTGCCAGCCTCTGACTATTTGCTCAGTCTTATAAAATTCTTCTTTGCATTTGGCTTTTGTCTTCACTGCCTTGAATAACCAAACACCATGAGGAAAATTAGTCATCTTACTGATCACCCTGTTCTTTGGGCTACTCAGGAAGTGTCAGTCAGCACAAACCCCAGCCACAGGTTCCAGCAAAACTCCAGAGACCTTCTGTTGGTTTTAGGAGTCAGCCATGTGTTTCTGCTGTTTCCTCTCTTGTAATCAAATATTTGTGTATAAAAGTACCCATGCTCTTATGTAATTGTTGCTTGCTTTTCTTGTAAGCATTTGGAGAGGAGCCTTTCTGAAGGAATGGCTTTGGAAGCCTAATCTGGTTGTGTCAGCTTGTCACTCTTATTCAGGAGGCTATTAATTCTTTCAAACTAATTTAAATTAGAATCATCAAAAAGCTGTAATTTTAAAGAACAAAAAAGGTGACATGCTCTATCGCATCTATCCTAAAAGTGGTCGGTCTGTCCTTGTGTCTGAGGTTTACTGGCTTATAAAACTTTCTTAAAAGCTGACTTGTTTCACTCTGAAACACTAAAAAGTGTTTTCACGTTGGCTGCCCATGATCGAAGTGACCCCGTCTGGATTTCTGGGTCTCCTAGCAAAGTTTGGGAGCTCCCAGGAGACTGGAAAAGGGCATATCTGTCTGCCAAAAAATAAGTGAAATGAGAGAATGAGTGAAATGTATTTAATATTTTTATAGGGGTTTCTGAAAATATATTGTAAAACCCTAAGAGTTATTTGGAAGTTGTATTCTTAAAAATCATCAGCTATTTCTAAATATAGAGAGGGAAAGTAAAAAAAATACTCACCCAATAAGGATTGGTCAAAAATAACGTCAAAGACAGCTGCTTTTTCTTGGATGACTGAAAACCACACATTATGCATAATGGAAGAGTAATAGCAACATACTGATGCTAAGAAAACTTTGTCTCAAAAGATTTCCCTTTGGTGAGTTGGTGGGAAGCATACAACAGGAAATTGCTACTACATGGAGAAGTATTGGATTGGAAGCCTATGTCAAAGTGTAATTAGCAGTGATTCATGGTGAAAATGGAAAGGTTTCCAGTAGGATCTGGTAGGGATCTGTCATGTGCTTGAGGCTTTCATCAGTGTCCTAAAGGATGGATGTGTTAGGCATCCAGATAATGGCAAGATTGGGAAGGCTTAAAAACATCCTGGAAAGTAGGATTATAAATTAATTTGCCAAAAAAATGAACGAGTTTGAAATAGTAGGATCTGTTTCAACAGGAAAATGGATAAAATTAAACCTTTTAGAAGCAGAAGGAGATCCATGAGGAAGTTTATGGACAGTAACTTGGACATTCCTGTTTTTCTTTTGAAAGTTGTTATATTTCTGAATGTGTATGCTTTCAGCACTTGTACTTTGATATCACAGCCCACATTTAGTTGGCTTTTTTGGTCTTCATATTCTTTGTGATGTTTTCTCAGAGTGTAACTGGAATTATTTTATATATGTGTTGGTATACATAGGGGCAGGAAGTACTCTACATGTTTATAACTATTTAAGTAGTTCTTCATCTTGAAATCATCCATTTACAATGTCTCAAACAGAGATTTTGCTTTTGTCCCCATAGGTAGATAGTTATTCTCTCTAATCTGGCTTGATTAGAAGCTTCTAATCATGTGTAATGTACAGAAGAGTTAGTGTGGAAGGCTTCAGTGGAAAGCAGAAGGCCATGAGGTGGGAAGTGCTGGGAAGACTCAAGACATTATTCAGCAATATTAATTTCTAAGGTTGTTGCCTGCCTGTCAAGAGAGAAAACTAATTTATTGGTTTGGATTAGCTGCTTCTAATACAATGCATTAATGTTTATTGGTTGTTACACTGCTTTTATGACATTGCAAAAATTGAATCACTGACTTTTTAAAAATGCATATTAAGCCCTGTTGCACAAAATAAGGCTCCTTTTACTTAGTCAGAAATGTCATCATTTAATGCTACATAATTAATACAAAATGGACACTGTGTGTCAAGAACAGTGGCTCTTTTTTGGGCATGGCACAGTTATACTGGAAATAAATGAGTGAGCATGATCATTTTTTTCCCCATACAAAAAACCAGGTAATTTTAATTGACTTAATGCGTTCTTTGAAAACACATTACGGATTTTGATCTTTTGAAGTTTAGTTCCTATCCTGATACTGCAGGAATTTACTTCTGATTAATGAGATGGAGAGAAGATAAAAAGGACAGTGAGCTGTTCCTCTGAGGCTTATAGTTCTGAATAAAAATTTTTCTTGAAATAGTTTCTCCAAGTAACTTTTGTCCATCTGTAGCAATGTGAATAACTCAGATGCTGCAATTAGCAGAATAGAGCTGATAAAATAATCAGTACAGAAGGGAATGTGTATTCATGAATTTAGAACTGTGAGTAGCTGCTAATGTTATTTCACAATGTACTCTTCATTTTCACATCGATCCCTGACAAGTATCTCAATAGAACAATAAGAGAAAATACACTAACAAATATTCTGAAATGGCATTTCCCTTCTCTTTTCTAATTAAACTATGTTCCTAATAAAATATTGATTAGGCTAAAATGTACATTATTAAAAAAATTTTTAGATATTTTGTTTATGCTCTTTGAAATTGTTGTAGGTTCATTGTAGTGGAATATGCAGGCAGTT